TTATGACTGAGAACTTTATCTTCAAACTAGGCTGTTCAAACAGTGAAAAAAGCGTTAAAATGAGAAGTAATCAGCAGGCTTATACCCACGTAGTGAAGAGTACGTGAAACCTAGCACTTTCCCGTAGTAGAAAGCAAGGCTACGGCGGGAAAGCAGTACTGGTAGGCGCGTCATGACGTCACCGGAAGTAATCTTCACTATCTGCCGCCGTACTACAGCCTAGCTGTAACATATCTTAAAGTCCTTTTTATTCGAGAGGCAGCAGGTGAAACGATTTCCTCGACAAGTGACGTTTTTTAGTAGTGTTTCTCATTTGTTCTCTGCATTTCTGTGGCAAGTACTCAATAACTGACCGCGGAAAATGAGAGGATTTTCTCAAGAACATCTTTATAATTACGGTACTGTAATATAAATAAACACGGACATGGCGAATAATATAAACAAATGAGTCGATGAAAAGACGAAAAGGGATTCCACTCAATCTTACTGGGAATGGATTCCACGACCTATGAGTTACGAAGCATTAACCCCATCCATTTCACCAACTCATCACGCAGTTTAAAAACAGGTCTACATTGCGGACATGGGTGGCTTACGGGTTATTCTAGTTATACGAGTTTCTTTATTGACTTCTGGCTACACTTGTTACAAAAGCAGTCTTTTCTAAAAAACAATGAGGAAAACCAAGTGAATCGTCCCTTACTTTCACTCCTTTTGTATCTCAATCTCAAATGAGTTTCGTGCATACTACATGACGAACAGAATCAGGGAAGTCTTTTTATTGACACTACATGAACTGCATTGCTTCGATGAATTTACATATTCTGTACTGGGCCACTCTACCTATCGTCACCACCTAATTGAAACTGATAAATGTTGCTCAACATTGTTTTCTTGTCGCCTGAGGACGAAAGCAAGTTGGGTTTACGCGACTCAGCACCGCCAGATGGAGTTCTAGCAACCCTCCCTGCGCGGGGTTTTGATTTTGGTTGTTCATTCTGCTACGTTGCAGACAAACTTTACCTATGGTATAGTTCTTAGGATTAAATTTCCGTCTGCAACGCAGGCTAGGCCTTACTGACAGTCGTCTTATTTCTTTAAAACCACCAAAAGGGTCTATAGGTGGCCAATTTTATTCACGTTGAAAGCCAAAACGGCTTTAAACACGCAACGCGAGTAGCCTCTTCAAGGAGTGTAGTTATAGTTGAGGCACAGCGGGAAATAGCATCGAGTAAAAAAAAGAGAGAGAGGTGCTTAGTGCGCGCCAACTCACTGATCGCCTCGAAGAGGCTATTATCCGCGGGACGATTGGGAACCATATCTTAAAATCACTTGATAAGGATTACCTCTTCTTAAAGTTTGTCTCATCCTTATGGACCGCTCACCGCACTTAAGTGCTTGTTCCAGCATCTCCAGCACACGTTTCATGTTGTAAACAAAATGATTACCTAGTCCAAACACTAAGTTGGCGATCATGAACAAGTTTTTCTTGTCGCTTCCAGTCATTTCAATAACTGCTTCCTTCAGCCTCTCTCTTTCTTCATCGGCGTTTGGCTTTTTCAGGATTTCGTCATCAAACGTGATGACGGGGATGATTTTGATTTCTGTCATGAACAGAAAACAACGGCTAACCGTTAAGAGCGTAGGAGAACACATGTTTGAGTGAAACTTTGTGGCTGATAACTGGAGTACGGAATATCTCCCAGACCTGAGACTCAGAGAAGTTGATTATTCATTAACTTTCCATAACAATTCACATTCTTGACTTCCTTTTCTAAATGGTTTCGATTTTACCTTTTCGTGGCGTGACAAATGAAAACCAGCAATATTTACTCATTTGATTTGAATATTTTCTCCACCTTGACGTATGGGTCAGTCCCGGGGTTTTTAACCATTTATTTCGGAATACACAAAATAAAAAATTGCTGAATGAGACGGTGATTTGAGGATTAATTAATTTTTCAAAGAAAATTACAGACCAGAAGCCATCTCTGCAACTGTCTTGCTGTGAATTTACTGGCTTCTCTTAAGGAAGAAATGCTTCCGGAATGGCTTATTCCTTTACTTCCAAATGTTCCCTGTGTTTTACTTTCACTTCTCTGACAGGACCGTTTATCATCTCTCAAACTTCTCCCAAAACTACAAGCTTTTGCGCTGCGTGGCATTAAAATGGACTCCCCGAGAGGGCTGACGCGTACGTCATCTCTTGAGTTTTTACTAACTGACAGTCTTTACATATTTCAGTGTGTCGCAGTTCTAGAGTAATAACTTTTTGTTTCAATAGCAAAGCTCAGTGACTGATGTTTCTGTTACGTTACGCCCACCATATTGGTGCACCTCCAAGGGAAACTAGCCTGGCCCTACAAAGTTCTGAAAATTTGTTGATACATTTCTCCAAGTATCATGGAAAACGGCACAGACTTTAGTCTTGGAGATCTAGAGGTTGTTTTAGTATCAATCATCTATTTCGTAATTTCTGGACTTTATTGAGTCTTTACAATGATTATTTTTGATGACATGACAGTGAAAGCCACCTACATCGCAACACCCGTGATTTGAGAAAGCGTCAATGTCAGGCAAAGCTAAATACCCTCTAATTTGAAACGTAGCAAGATGAGCTATGATGACACAATATAAAATAAGGCCTAAGACTTACTGACTACTCACTTGCTTTTTTTAGCTGGTCTTGAACAAACTTGATATTTCCTCTGTACTGTTCCATTTGAAACCTGGTATCAGTAGTATTTACAACCCACAATATCACGTGCATCTGGTCAGTAATTGGCGGCATCTTGAGTCTGTGAGCAGCAACCTCAGCAGTTTGTGCCTTATGAGTGCTCGTGTAATCTCGGGTCAAATCTTCTCCTGAAGGCTCGATTCCAAACAAAATGCGAAAAAGCTCCCCTGTTTTAGGAAAAGAGAACTTTTTCAGGGTATTCATTAATCTCTGATGTTACACGCTGAAAAAATAGAGCGAATCTCCGAGGGAAACGAAAATTGGTTCGAAAAATCGGGTAGTTCGAGAAATCGGGGGTAAAATTAGTGTTCGACTGAGGAGAGGGAAACAAGTTTTGGTTGGAGTTAACGGAGGTATGAAAAATCGAGGATTCGAGACATCGGGATTCCCCTATAGTTACGTGTATGTATAGGCAGTGACTGAAGGTGATTGCATTGAACTGCATTTCGCATCCTTGCTGCGCATCCACATACACCCCATTTAAAGTGCCTATGAAGTAAAAAATAATTGCTGCTTATTTGAAAGGCTTTTCAAAGTAAAGAAGATTG